AGTCTGAAGTTGATCAAACATGTAATCATGATGCATTGATAATTACTGGTGATTAGAATGTAAAAAGTGGAAACGAAGAAGGATTGGCAGTTGGAAAATACGGCCTTGGTGATAGAAACGAAGCTGGAGATTGCATGATAGAGTTTTGCAAGACCGACTTATTCATTGGAAATACCTTTTTTCAACAATGTAGATGGCAGCCACACACATGGACCTTGCTGGATGGAACACACGGGAATCAGATTGACTGCCTTTGTGGAAAGAGACAATGGAAAAGCTCAATATCATTAGTCAGAACAAGGCCAGGGGCTGACTGTGGAACAGACCAACCATCAGTTGCTCATATGCAAGTTCAAGTTGAAACTGAAGAAAATTAGAACAAGTCCACGAGAGCCAAAGTACGACCTTGACTTTATCCCACCTGAATTTAGAGACCATCTCAAGCATAAATTTGACACATTGGATACATCAATGACTGAAGACCAGACAAGTTGTGGAGCATCATCAAGGACATCATACATGAAGAAGAAAAAAAGGTCATTAAAAAGACAGGAAAGAAAGAAAACACCTGAATGGATGTCAGAAGAGACTCTGAAAGTTGCTCTTGAACATAGAGTAGCTAAAGCAAAAGGAAGAAATAACGAAGCGAAAAAGCTGAGCAGAAGATTTCAAAGGACGGTTCGAGAAGACAAAGGAAATATTATCTTGAAATTTGCAGAGACCTGGAGATAGAAAACTAAAGGGGAAGAACACACTCAGCATTGCTCAAACTGAAAGAACTGAAGAAAAAATTCACACCTCGCGTTGCAGTATTGAAGGATTCTATGGTAAAATATTGAACAACGCAGATAGCATCAAAAGAAGATGGAAGAAATACACAGAGTCACTGTATGAAAAAGAATTGGTCAATGTTCAACCATTTCGGGGGGCAGCATATGATCAAGAACCGATGGTACTGAAGGAAGAAGTCCAAGCTGCACTGAAGGCATTGGCGAAAAACAAGGCTGCAGGAATTGACAGAATATCAATTGAGATGTTTCAACAGACGGATGCAGTGCTGGAATTGCTTACTCATCCATGCCAAGAAATTTGGAAGACAGTTACCTGGCCAACCAACTGGAAGAGATTTGTATTTGTGCCCATTCCAAAGAAAGGTGATCCAGCAGAATGCAGGAATTGTCGGACGGTATCATTAATATCACACGCAAGTAAAATTATGCTGAAGATCATTCTAAAGTGATTACAGCAGTACAGTGACAGGGAACTGCCAGAAATTCAAGCTGGATTCAAAAGAGGATTTGGAATGAGGGATATCGTGTGCTGATGTCAGATGTTTTCGGCTGAAAGCAGAGGATACCAGAAAGATATTTACCTGTGTTATGCAAAGGCATTTGACTGTGGTGGATCATAAATAATGTATAACATTGTGAAGAGTGGGAATTCCAGAACACTTAATTGTGCTTATGCAGAACCTGTACATAGACCAAGAGGCAGTGGTTCAAACAGAACAAGGTGACACTGCATGGTTTAAAATCAGGAAGGATGTGGTTGTATCCTTTCACTATTCTTATTCAATCTGTATGCTGAGCAGATAATCCCAGAAGCTGGTCTATATGGAGAAGAATGTGGTATCAGGATTGGGGAAAGACTCATTAACAACCTGCGTTATACCAGTGATGCAACCTTGTTTTGCTGAAAGTGAAGAGGACTTGAAGCACTTACTGATGAAGATCAAAGACTACAGCCTTCAGTATGGATTATACCTCAACATAAAGAAAACAAAAATCTTCACAACTGGACCAGTAAGTAACATGATAAACAGAGAATATTGAAGTTGTCAAGGATTTCATTTTACTTGGATCCAGAATCAATGCCCACAGAAGCAGCAGTCAAGAAATCAAATTCCATATTTCGTTTGGACAAATCTGCTGCAACAGACCTCTTGAAAGTGTTAAAAAACAAAGATGTCACCTTGAGGACCAAGGGCCACTTGACCCAAGCCATGGTATTTTCAGTCACCTCTTATCAATATGAAAGCTGGACGATGAACGAGGAAGACCAAAGAAGAATTGATGCCTTTGAATTATGGTGTTGGTGAAGAATATTGAATTATACCATGGACTGCCAGAAGAAGGAGCATATCTGTCTTGGAAGAAGTACAACCAGAATGCTCCTCGGAGGCAAGGATGGTGAAATTTCATCTCGCATACTTTGGACATGTTATCAGGAGGGCCCAGTCCCTGGAGAACGACATCGTGCTTGGTAAAGTAGAGGATCAGTGAAAAATAGGAAGACCCTCAACAAGATAGACTGCCACACTGGCTGCAACAGTGTCAAACATAGCAGTGATTGTGAGGATGGCACAGGACCAGGCAGTGTTTCTTTCTGTTGTACACAGGGTTGCTGTGAATCGGAACCAACTTGACAGCACCTAACAACAAGAACATATGTACTGTTGTCTTTATAATACTAGAAAAAAATTGACTAGGGTGTTTAGCAGTGTCAAAAGGAAAATGAATTTTTTTTTTGTGTGTGATACGTAGCATACTAAGTATCTCATGTCACTGGAGACTTTAATTGTCCTAAGGACTGAATGAATCTAGAAGCACTTCGAGAGTTACTTTGTGGTGGTTTATGGGTTTATCCTGCCCAGATTTGTGTGGTAGAAGTAAGGTGACCCCTGGATTCTCCTTTATCTGGCTTCCCTCACTCTGCTTCTAGCCCTTGTTAAGCAGTCATGAGCATTAGTGGGAAAAGAAGTAGCTGCCTCAGCCATCAGTCAGTTCTTTGGCATCAGAGATGGAATTTGGAGCCCTGGTGATGCAGTGGTTAAGAGCTCGGCTGCTAACCAAAAGGTCGGCTGTTCGAATCCACCAGCCGCTCCTTGGAAACCCTATGGTGCAGTTCTGCTCTGTCCTGTAGGGTCGCTATGAGTTGGAATTGACTCAATGGCAACAGCTTCCCCTCCCCCACACCCCGCCGTGTGCCTTGAGAACTGCAGCTTATTACTGAGAGGGCCGCCCAGTGATTGCTGTCCAGTAGGGGTTCTCCTGTCCATTTGTGGAAGACAGTCTTTGGTTTTCTCTCTCAGTTTTACTCATATAATAAACCCAGTAAGAACCTAACTACCTGGGTAAACCACCTCACCTTAAATGATAATATCAGGTACACATTTTTAATTTACATTTTAGAGGCAAGGAATGGTGGGAAAAGATAAGATGCGTTTTCTGTCCTACTTTTATAATTTATCTACCAACAATAATGCTGAAACCAACCATCCATCATTTTAGATTGACTGTCCTTTATTGTTTTGCTAGAGTAACAGTTCTTTACATTTGTATAATGTTTTTAGTTTACAGAATACTTTCATACACATGATCTCATTAGTCTTTATAATAATTCTTGGCGATAGGGTGGCAGATCTTCTTGTAAATAAGCAAATTGAAGCTGAGGATAAATAACTCAGCCTAGTTCACAACCCGTGATGGTGGCATCGGTCTGTCCAGGGTTGTTGATTCAGCCCGCGGTGTCTGGGATAGTAATCTGCACTGGGCGAAGGAGACTTGGAGTGTTGGGGAGGGAGAGGTAACTGTGCTCTGAAGCTCCCTGTTTTCAGTACAGGCACCCCTACTTTCAGTTATTGCTGTTATCCTTAACCCTTCTGTCTTCCCTCTCTAGAGAATAAGCCTTTACTCTTCTCCTGCTCTGGGGGAGGAGCCATGGAGCTATCAGGGCCTCACTGCTTAAACCTTCAACCAATGATCTGTTTTCAAGTCCACCCTTACCCCTACTGTCCCAACTACCTGATGCTGCTAATTCCTGACTCTTGGGGTTTTTTGGACAAATCAGATACTTCTTGGCTTTTTTCACTGTTTGCTGAAGATTCAAATTTGTTGAATCTGCCAAGTTATACCACTCATCCATATGTTGTCCAGCTTCCAAAAAGTTACTCTTACCGTCTCTTTTTCTGTTCTTTTTGTTGTGAGTGTATACCTTTTAAACAAGCGCTCTAGGTGTCATTATAGTTTAGATTTCAGAAAGAGGGGAGGCTAATATATGTTCAGTCTCTGTTAGTTTTTTGGCGCTCCCGTAACAGAGCACCACAGGCTGGGCAGCTTCACACAACAGAAATGTGTTCTGTCCCCGTTCTGGAGTCTACAAGTCTGAAACCAAGGTGTCGTCAGGCACGTGCTCTCTAGGGAGAATCTGTTCCATGGCTTCTCTTCAGTTTCAGCTGTTGCTGACGTTCTTTGGTGATCCTTGGCTTGTGCAGTGACCCGTCGCTCCCATCTCTGCCTCCGTCTTCACATGGCGTTCTCCCTGTGAGCCCCCGCATTTAATCTCCTGGTGAGCTGTGTCGTTTCTCTTCTCACTGTTAGGACACCGGTCGTGTTGGATTTAGGTTCCCCCTACTCCGGGGTGACTTCATCTTAACTCATCATCTGCGTAAAGACCCTGTTTGCACATAAGGTCTCATGCTGACGTGAGCATTGGCACGAGACTGTTGAGCTCAGTACTCTCAGTTCTGGAGAGTCTTGACCCTGAAGTGAAAGATGCCTTTTGTATTTAATTTCCTTCCACACTGGAGCTGTTACTTTTTCTGGTGCCTGTCTGGATGCTACTTTAAAGTAGAAAACCTTACAAACCACATAGCCACATTTCATAACTCTCTTTATTTTATGCAGAATTTTAGGCTTCGTGACCTCTTTTTGACTTTTGGAGTCTTAGTTATGCTGTGCGCAAGTCTTAGTAGTCCGACTAGCTGAGAAAAGAACTGGGATTTAGTTCATTACTTTATAGCAGTGCCTCTTCAATGTCATTTTTTTCCATGCTCGATTTGTGGTATGAAGAGATATATTCTGGGATTTGTGTGTTTCGTTTTCATAGATAACGGTACAGAGGGAGGTTTTTCTTACTCAAAATGTTATGTTTATTACTTAACAGTTTTCCTTGTGTCTGTCAAACTCCTGACTTTGTCCCTCTGTGTTGCGCATCTTCAGGTTGCCCGAAGCTCAGCAGAGAGTCGGAGGCTGCTTTTTAAATCTCATGTCACAGATGAAAACCCTGTACCTCACGTATTGTGCCAATCACCCGTCTGCCGTCAACGTGCTCACGGAACACAGGTGTGTCTGCCCCGGCATTTCGGATAACAGGTGGCCAGCGTGGGCCACCTTTGCTTCCCCCAGGTGTGTCTGCCCCCGCATTTCTGATGACGGGTGGCCAGCGTGGGCCACCTTTGCTTCCCACAGGTGTGTCTGCCCCCGCATTTCTGATGACGGGTGGCCAGCGTGGGCCACCTTTGCTTCCCACAGGTGTGTCTGCCCCCGCATTTCTGATGACGGGTGGCCAGTGTGGGCCACCTTTGCTTCCCCCAGGTGTGTCTGCCCCCGCATTTCTGATGACAGGTGGCCAGCGTGGGCCACCTTTGCTTCCCCCAGGTGTTGTGTGTGGTGTGGTCTTCACATTCACTTGATTATTAAAAGATAGATTTTTAAAATTATCCCGCAAAAGCAGTACTGGAGAAGTACAGGCAAGGAGTCTTTGGAATGTTGATTAGTTTTCTGCTAAAAGAAAACTTCTTTCTGTTTTGAACTCTCCTCTTCCGCCTGGAGCTCTTTGGAAAGTGGGTTGAAGGAGCTGGTGAACATTTGGGAACACGGTGGCAAGCTAAACCAAGGCCCCCGGAATCATACTTCTCTCGGGTCTTAAAACTGTAAGTCCCGAGACTGAATAGATGTGGTATAGGAGAAAATGTACCACTTTAAGATTAGTGTTCAATTTTGTTGATAAAACATTTGAGACCATTAGCTTTGGTTTGTTTTACTTGAAACCTAAGGAAAACAAATGGCAGGTGATTTACTGCTCTTGAGAGAGGAGGCAGGTACGGAGAAACCGTGTGTTATATCTGTTTCCTGAGAATTTGAAGAAGAAACTGCTTAGCTGTCTCAGCTGTTGAGGAGTATCTCAGTCGTTCTGGCTTTGTGGTAGGTAACTTGGCAAGAATCGAGGCTCAGATCCTGCCTCTAAAAGAGACAGTCTTTTTTATTAATAAAAATTATAAATGCATTAGAAATGATTCTGTGATTTCTTTCAAAAACAAGTTCAAAGTTTTTACGAACCATAAATGGAAAAAATGCTTTAGTAGCATCAAGATAAAAGCCATTGTGCTTCTAATTTCAGTATTAACTTCAACCTACTCTCAACAAAATACTTCAACTTAAAAGTTAATTCTTGGTAAGCAAGCATTGCTTAACTGTGTGGAACTTCAGCTGGCTCATATATAGCATCAACACAAGTGTTGGGTTTTGTGAGCGGTAGTGTAGGGAAGTCCTTATGTGGGCGTCCTTTGGAATCAGTTAGACCTGAGTTTAAGTCCTTACTCTGCAACTTTCAGGCTGTCTGACCTTGGGCAAGTTACCTCACGTCTCTGGGCTTCACTTCCTTTTCTGAAAGTGCTTTTTTTTTTAGGGCTATTATAAACATTAAGCAAAATATGTATAAACTGATCAGAACACTGTAAATGTTCAGTAAATGTTAATTGTTTTGTTGTCTTATCTTCTATTTAAAAAAAAAAAAAATGACCCTGAACATTTACTGTTTCTTCAGTATGCTTAAATGCTAAACGGTCAAAAAAAATGTAACTTCTCATTTGTCTTAAAGCATCTTCAGTCTTGAAGTGAAGCAGCAATCTTTGACGGGGTGATGGGAAGAAGGGGGGTTAGAATACAGAGTGGTCATCGAAAAGGAAGCAACAGAAAACCCTTCTTCAACCCTTAGACCGTTTTGGTCTGCCTCTGGCCACTCTCCCTTCTGGAAGTGTGTCTACATTAGACATGTAGCTTTCCTAAGTTATGAAGCAGGTGTGCGGTTATGTGCTGTACCATCTACTCTGGGTGTTAGAAATGAATGAAATTTCTCCAAAATGCAAGTATTATACTTGTCCTGCTGAAAAGTCTCCAGGAAATACTAGTGGTGAGGGAGATACGCAGGAAGCAAATAGAATGGTAGAGGAAAGCTGTAAAACAGGTTTTCTTCTCCCCTCTTCTTTTTATTTTCATTATTATTATTTTAAAAATCCTCCAAGATGGGATTGGAAGTATAGAAGGTGGTTGGGGTGGACAGTTTTGGGAGAAGAATCTAAATAAATATTTTTCCCATGGAAAAAGTGAGGATTTTTCCTAAATAGGACGTTTAAAGCAATTTAACAGTTTATGTTTCTTAAAATGTTAACATGTTGAAGAGAAATGCTCCTCAAGTATGTGTTGGCTTTATCCTGCGCCATTACCTTAATGACTGCTTTGTGTCATCTTGGAAACATAGTAAGCACAGCATTTGCTCAAAATAACTGGAGTAAAGAATGCAGATCAGTTTCCAAATCTAGAAACTTTGTACCTCCTCCCTTTGGTGTATCCCAGAGTTTGGAAGTCAGTGGACCAAGGTCGTTGCACTCTGAAGAGCAGTCCTAGAGTAAGTCGCTTTAGAATTCAGCTCTGGAATTCTAAGCCATAAAACAGAAAGTCCCTCAGGGAGCCGGCAGGTGCCCAGATGTCAGATGGGACGCGATGCCTGTGTGCCCTGCTCAGACCTCCGAGCAGCGAGAGCTCCCATTCTGTCTACTTCAAACCAGATCCCATGTCAGAGGCGTAAGTTGGGGAATTGAGACTGGGATTTCACTTGGCTGATAGTTTCTTTTAATGTTCAGTGCTTTTTATACTTAGGTTCTTAACTTGAAACATCTTGCTTGCTTCTTCCCTGTGTGTGTTAAAGTCCTGAAGTTGCCATGTATAGGGGTAGATTAGTCTATTTTTGTGCTTGAGTATAATTTTTTAAGGGTTAATTTCAGTGTAATGTTTTGAAGTTTAAAAGTCTTATTTACCTTCTCACTGTCCTTTTTGTCAGTTTAAATTCTAAGTACGAATCATAACTAGTGCATATGTAGAATCACCAATTCTGTAGAATCATAACTGACATGTACCTTTGCATTATCCTGCAATAACAGACAGCGTCTGTTCATGGCTGATTTTTGAATGAATTACGGGTTTCATAATTTAGTCTGTAAAAAAGTGAATTTTGCTGTCCCCCCCCCCCAGCACTTTAATTGTTACTTTTTGCTTGACTAAATGATAGCTTTTTGTGTGTGTTCCTTTTGTTACTCTTTGCAGCCCACGGTGTCATTTCAGTTCATACAGAGGAGTTACCCTGTATAAAGGCTGCTGGCTTCAGTAGAAATTAAGTCAGCTGAAAGAGCCATTGTTTTTGTTAAAATAGCTGCAATCAGCCGTTTCAGTTTGGTCCTAAATAAAAAACTAAAGAAATGAACACAGTCACCTATAAAGATTTATAAAATGCTGCTTCCTTTCTTAATCGTATGCATGTTCTCCCGTTACCAGAATGTTGTGAGGACGTTAAAAGAAGTTCATTTTGCTTGCAAAACTTGAATTTTTAAATTTTAGGCTTTTTTTTTGGGGTGGCGAGTGGGGAGCTGATGGTTGAGGAGGGTGACCTACTCAGTTTGGGTAATTTGTAAATTACCTCTGCCGTAGGTATAGCTATGAAATTCCAAACCTAACCCTGAAGTACCAGTAATTACTTGAATAGGTTTTACTTTGGTTTTTTTCTTGGTAGAAAAGGCCCTGCATGGATTATATTTAAAGGAGTTGAAATATACTTTGAATATCATAAAGTTTGATTTTAATGAGACTGTGCCTGATAAATTGTTCGACACTTAGAGAAATACTGTTAAAATACGAACGTTTTGTGCCTAAACTCATCATTTCCTCTAGTCATGCCTTAGGGACCGATACAGTGAGTATTACTACTTAAAGAGAGGAGCATTTTCTGAATCAGGACTGTGAGCGTGTGGTGACCTTCCTGGTAGCGAATACAGCCAGAGTGGAGGGTGCTGTGAGTGTAAAAGACAAGCATTCTCGTTACGGTCACCGAACTCTTCCTGCGTCTGGTGTTCCCAAGAAGCTTGAGTGTTGGGCAAGCAGGAGGTGGAGAGGGAATGGGGTGGAAGAGGTATGGCAGCAGCTGGGTCTCTCCCTGGGGTTCAGGCTCATTTAACCTGTATTTGAGTGCCTACCCTTTGCTCAGTTGTTCTGTATGGATTTGCATATTTATCTTAGGATTTAATTTATGTAATACTGAGAGATAGAAGCGTCTGTTCCTTTTAGGGAAAACACCCAAGACTAGGAAAAACGGTTTGGGATAAGAGGCATGGCTGTGATTCAAATCCAGGTGTTCTGACCGAGAGACAGCGCCCTTTCTGGAACACCACTTGGATGACTTTAGCTGATGGGACTTCTTCTTTCATTCCGTCGGCTCACACAGCTCCGAATGTGTGGGTTGATGCATGTAGTGTGTGAGTGATGGATACACACCTGTGGTCCTAGCGTGGACCCTGAAGATTGTCTGCTCCACAGTGGAGAGATGAATAACCTCAGTGTTGACGTGACTTGACAGCAATCATAAAATTGGCAACAATGGTGTTTGAGTTCACATCCATGTCTTTGGGCTTGATTTCCAGAGCTGACTTTTCCATAATCTTTCTAAACATTATGGTTGTTGAATTTGAGCTCTCAGGGCAAATATAGTTTGCATGAAAATATAGGCCTCATGAGTGTATAGGTGATAGTACAAGCTGGGTGAGGTATAGTGAAGACGGTGGCAAAAGCATAATGGTAAAATACTGAACACTTGTTTTTAAAATTCTTTACTTTCTGTATATGGGAATATGTTTCTACTTTCAAATTGTGAGGATTAAATAAAATGAAGCTGTAAAAATGCTTTCAAAATGCTAAATATTCTTGCTTTTATTGTGTTGATTGCCTACTCATGAAGATCAGGAACCATCACTTGTTCATCAGACATAATAATGCTTAGACTGCAGTAGATGTTCAGCTGCACCGTTGTCGAACCAATACGCATCTAGAGGGTTGATGCTCTGATTCAGTGTATCATACTTTTAAAGCATCTTGTACTTAAGCCAAACTCATTACTGTTCTTACTGTTTTGAGGTTTCCCAGATTCAAGATCCATTCTCAGAAATTCTAAGAATGCATGCTTACATTTGGACACAATGTAATTGACATACTGAATGTATGTCAGTTGACTATGTAATTAATTTATATGAAATTGACTTACTGAAGTGAGCTTTTCTTTAATGAATTTCATAGGGAAAAAAATGTATTCTATATTATATGCAATTGCTGTGTGAATGAGAGCAATAACATGACCCCCACCCCCACCTGTTTGGTGTTTTTGAAATAACCAACATGTGTTTTTGGTTATAAAAGCTATAGCCTTCAGAATATTAAATGCTGTATGATGCTCTTCTATTTCATGAATCCTGCTTATTGCTAATGGAAACAAGAACAGCTAACTCTAACAATAGGCCTTCTTTTTTCTCCTGTCTTGGTACTTGATTAGGGAGGAGCTGGGAGAGTTCATGGAGCTGAAAGGTGCCAGCAGCCCTGGAATCCTCGTGTTGACCACGGGCCTCAGCAAACCGTTTATGCGCCTGGACAAATACCCCACCTTACTCAAGGAGCTGGAGAGACACATGGAGGTGCTGCTCTCTGCGTTTCTGCCACTTAGAGCCCGTCAGCCATGAACTGGTGGCATTGTTGTTGGCTTTACTGTACAAGAAGTATTCATAATGCTTTGTTTTTGACTCCAGAACCTAAAAGCAAATTTACCAAGAGTTTTTAATTTAATGGATTTTCACCATGAGTTTGTTAAATATTAGTTTTTTTCTCCTTATCCAGCTCTGTAAAAAAAAAAATCATTTGCCCCTTCATCTCCTCTCTTACCCACTGCTGCTGATAGAAAAATCTCCAAAAGCTGTAAAATCTTAAACTAATTTTTAAATGCCATTGTGGTATCATATCAGGAACATTTAGCTATAAATAATAAGTAGTTAAGTTATAAAGTAACAATAATAAAAGAACTGTTAAATGATAAAACAAAACAAACCCATTGCCACTGAGTCAATTACAACCCTATAGGACAGAGTAGAACTGCCCCATAGGGTTTCCAACACTGTAAGTCTTTACGGAAGTCGACTGTCACATCTTTCTCCCACAGAGTGGGCTGGTGGGTCAGAACTGCTAACCTTTTGGTTAGCAGCCTAGTGCTTAACCTCTGCACCACCAATGCTCCTTTAAGTTATAAAGTAACAATAGTAAAAGAACCATTAAATTATAATATTATACATTTACTGTACTTTTACACAAGTACCTTCCACGTTTTCCAACCATGTGGCTATGCGAATTTTTTTTACATGTTGCTGTGGGGAAAAAAAAAAATTAGCATAGCGCTCTTACAAAAATACCATGCAGGGCAAGGGTGCAGTTGGGAAACAAACATAAAAGGTGTGTGCTATTTGCGTAAAATACGATATCTTTTTTCTGAGTAGCACGTTGTGGGCCTGGCCAACATTTGGGCCCAAGTCCTTCTCTTGGCTGCGGGCCCGCAGACTTTTTCTGTGAAGAGGCACGTATTAGCTGCCATGGGAGAGTACCGAATCGGGTAGCTGGTAAGAACAGACATTTACTGTCTCACGCACACTTCTGGAGGCTAGGAGTGTGAATTCAGGGTATTGTCAGGGCCATGTCTCTGTTTGCTCTGGGGGCAGACCTCGCTTGTCCCTTCCGCCTTCTGGTAGCTTAGACCTTGCTTTGTCCCTTCTGCCTTTTGGTAGCTTAGACTTCACTTTGTCCCTTCCGCCTTCTGGTAGTTTAGACCTCGCTTGTCCCTTCCGCCTTCCAGTAGCCCGGGAGTTTTGTGAGATCCTTGGCGTGTAGATACATCTTCACGTGGCTGTCTTCCTTGTGTGTCTTACCTTCTTTATAAAGACAGCATTCAGGTTGGGTCAGGACCCACCCTACTCCAGTGACCTTGTGTTAACTGATAATATCTTCACAGACCCTGTTTCAACAAGGTCATGTTCCCAGGTACTGGAGGTTAGGACTTGAGCGTATCCGTTTGGAGAACACCATTCAGTCCATAACAGGACAGTTAGTAAATACTGTGGACCTTGTAGTCCCTGTTGCAACTACTCAGCTCAGCAGTTGGGGCGCAAAAGCAGCCATACCAAAACCTGTTGGCGTGGAGTTGACTCGGACTCACGGTGACCCTGTAGGACAGAGTGTGGTGGTGTGCCAATAAAAGTTTATTTACAGAGACAGGCATGGTTTGCTCACCCCTGCTCTTGAGTTTTTCTGTTATAAATTATTTTCTTCCTTGAGGTCATTGTGTTCATAAGACCTGAGGTCATTAGCTCTATGATGATTCCCTTAAAGAACAAGAAACATTTATTTCCAACGCTGAGAAAAAGGGGCATGCTAAAGGCTGAGGAGTATCGGAAAAGTTTCAAGGTAGTGTATAGAGAATGCCTTTTTAAAAAAAACTTTTCATTTTGAAAACTAATAGTGCGTTTGTTTTCTTCAAAGGATTACCACCCAGATCGACAAGATATTCAGAAATCCATGACAGCCTTCAAAAACCTCTCAGTAAGTGATTCACCTTTTTTTCTTCCTGAGACGTTATTATAGCAAATAAATGGAGAAAAATTGTTTATCGACTGAAAATGTTAGATGATGAAAAAATTACTTGTGGAATGTAATTCCGGGTTTACTCAGATGAAGTCATAGTAAACATATAGTAGGTATTACATGGCCAGTGAATTTTCATGCTTGATGAGGGGTACCAGAAAAATGAAAAGATTATTTCTTTAATTAAAAATGTGACACAAAATAATTCACGTTATAGCTATGTAAATGTGGTTCTAAACATTTTTTAAATCTCCGTCTACAGCATCTTTAGTGACGCAGCATGAAGCACAGTACCGATGGCTCCAGTTGATCTGTTGTCTCACCAGATGTGTTTGAGAAATATAGGTCTTATTTATAGCACAGATTGTACTTCCTCTTCTTTTTTCCTCTTCTCAGTCTTTGTTGGCAAGCACTAATTAAAACAGAAAGAAAATATTTTTCTTGTCCAGTGTACATTTCATCTTCCTAAAAGTAGCAAGATCTGCTATAGTTTTCTAAAATAGTTTTTAGTGTTCTGGAACAGTTGTTTGTTTTGTTTCTCTTGACTTAAATCTAATCTTGTAAATTAAGCAAGCATTTTGATAAATTACCTATCTTAAGAAGAAATAAGATTCAGAGCAGTATGACCACAGCTTAAGACGTTGGATGTTTCTGTCCCTTCTAACAGTGTCCTCCTGTGTTTCTCAGGCCCAGTGTCAGGAAGTACGGAAGAGGAAAGAGCTGGAGCTGCAGATCCTGACAGAAGCCATCCGAAGCTGGGAGGGGGATGACATAAAGACCCTGGGCAGTGTTGTCTACATGTCGCAGGTCATGATTCAGTGTGCCGGGAGTGAGGTAACGCAGCTGCGGCGTGTACTGGAGACGGCTTCTGACGCCTCTCTGGGATGGCTACATGTAAACAGAGTGAGAGAAACACTGAAGGAGCACCAGGGCCATTTGCTGAATTTTGTTGTTGTTCCAGTCTCTAAATTGTTTTCCCCAAAACTATTAAAATGCCTTGAGTAAAAGTTAAGTTAAAAGCTGAACATAGTTTATATTAAATATGATTTGTTTTCTAAATGCTTTTTAAGATTTCTCAGTACGGCCTTCATTGTAAATGCTTTAGACTGTCTGTTTTTATGATTTGTAATACAAGATTTAAAAAGAATGTCAAGTAATGACAAGTAATATTTAATAGGAATCCTATCTTATGTTCGGAGCCCTGGTGGTGCAGTGGTTAAGAGCTCAGCTGGTAACCCAAAGGTCAGCAATTCATATCCACCAGCCGCTCCTTGGAAACCCTGTGGGGCTGTTCTGCTGGGTCCTGTAGGGTCACTATGGGTCAGAATTGTCTGGACGGCAGTGGGTGTAGTTTTTTGGTTGTATCTTATTTTATAGCTTATTGTCTACCTTTTACCATTGACAAATATGAAAGAGGCCCAGGTATATTAAAGAGGCTTAGAGCTGATTGTTGAATTCTTGCTCTGTTTAAGTTACGAACCAAAGTCTGTATTGAAAGAACTAATCCATGTAAAGTGCTCATCCCAGGGCTTGGCACCTAGTAAGCTCTTGGTAGTGGTAGGTACTCCTCTTCCAAAATGTGTCTGTATTTCTTGGGAAGTAATCTCCCATCAGACATAACTGTGTTTAGTACCCACTTTAGGAAAGACAGTAACATCATTACCTCTTAATGAAATTTCCTCAGAAATTAGCTGAGTTCAGAAATGGAGTTGCAGTTCCCTTGATTTCTGGTAGAAATGGCCTGTTTCTTCATTATAACCAAGCTCGTCAGTAGTCAGTAGAGAAGTAGAGACTCAATCTGCTCATTCAGTAACATCTCCAAGAAACTTAATCACTGTGACACGTGGAAAGATCACGTGAATGTAAAAACCCTATTTGGGGAACAGCCACACTTCTGAAATGGTATTTTAATTATGGTATTTAGACAAAATATCATTTATTTAAGTGTACAAATGGAGAGTCACAGTGTTCAGACAAGACTTGTAGATGGGAGACCTGTTGGATAAGGAGTTCTGTTTGTGCAAATGTCTGCAACAGAACAGGTCTTAGAGATGTGGTCATCAGCCAAGGGCTCTGAACAAGGCTGTCGTACTAGAGAATTTATGTTTTCACCTGTCTGTATTATTCTCCTTCTCTGTTAATGTATACTAAATGGTATTCACAGTTTTCTTTGTGGATTCAGTGGCAGTGAGAGATGAGACCAGATCCTTGTGACATCCCCACACCGTGAAAACTGAGCAGGCTTTCTTTCATGATTCACGAGTACCTCTTTCGAATTTGGAAAAAAAAAAAATTAATGGGATTAAAATATGCTGATAACCCATTTTTAAGCTTGAAACTCTTCGGATAATAAGAAAACTGAAACTTATACTCACAGTGTGTATTCCTTGCCACCTAAAATTTTTAAAATGATGTCACCCCTCTACTAAGGTACCAAGGTCTTGTAGTTTAGGAACCATAAAATAATGACATTCTAGTCTACTACAAGGAGCCCTGGTGGTGCAGTGGTTAAGCACTCGGCTGCAGCCGAAAGGGTGGTGGTTCAAATCTACCAGCGGCTCTTCGGGAGAAAGATGTAACAGTCTGCTTCCGTAAAGATTATAGCCTTGGAAACCCTATGGGCCAGTTCTCTCCGGTCCTATAGGGTTGCTATGAGTCGGAATGAACTCAGTGGTAATTGGTTTTGTGTTCTTTTGGGTTGGTCTACTACATTGATTTAAAAAAAAAAAAAACCTTTCCATGCTATTTCTTATGTGCTTTTTAACTTTATTTAAAATACTCTACGTAACCATTTCCTCAAAGTGTGCTCTTTGTAATGCTAGATTTACAAAACACTAATAGATGCTGGAGCCCTCCTGGCACAGTGGTTAAGCAAACGGCTGCTGAGGAAAAGGTCGGCAGTTCTAATCCACCAGCTGCTCTTTGGAAACACTATGGGGCAGTTCTACTCTGTCCTGTAGGGTCGCTATGAGTTGGAATCCACTCGATGGTGGTGGATTAATGGGTTAATAGATGGCTATTCAAAAAATAATTCAAAGTTGTTATAATCATGACTGATAAGATTGTAATCAATTCAAGAGATTTCTTCATGACAGAACTCTAACCCCTTCCTCTGTTCACAGTGTGTATAGTGGGGGGTGTTACCTCATTTCCAACAACTTCTTTAATGTATAGAATTTTTTTAAAGCACGTTGCATAGGTCTAGTGTTCTGAGGGGTATACTTGGAGAAACTGCTTTCTAGTACTTTCCTCCCTGTTTCCGTGTCTCATTTTAGGTTCTTGGAGTTTTTGTCTTTTAGCTGTAGTCTCTTTGGCTTTTGTTGTATAATTAAAGTAGAATGTTTTAAGTTTTAAGTACTGCTGTTAAGTCTTTCATAGAATTAAGTAAAGTTTATGGGATGGACGAGAATAGTATTGAATTGACACACCATGGAGTCTTAGGGAAGTGCCAGGAATTAATAAACCAAAATTGATTTTAATGTTTTATTCTACCATTAGCTTTAGGGATCTACTTGGTCCTTCCCCTCCCGAAAATTTTACAAGTTCCTTTTCTCCCAACCATGAAAAGAAAATTTTGATTTACCAGAAACAGTTAATGGCAGAGCTGAACTTTAACCAGATATTTCCAAAAGATGTTACACAGGCTACTTGTGAGTCCAGGATATTTTAATAATTTAGTTTACTTTCTTACATTTTCCTTGTGAAGAATTTAGTAGCCCATCTTTTCACCTATATGTTAAAGAACTCTCTTCATCATATTTTAATACTTAATGTAGAATTTATTACAGTGTTGTTTCTATTTAATTTAGCTAATAAAATTTGGCAGAGGGAAACCCGAACAGCAAATGACAGTGTTGCATAGGGCATAGGGTGAAGGAACTATTTGTGCTCACATCTGTAAGTATAAATTTTTAAAAAATTATTTGGATTTGTTTGTTTTTTACATTAGGAAAAGAATGAAAGGTATCTTCTACTCTTCCCAAATATCTTGCTAATGTTGTCCGCCAGTCCTAGGATGAGTGGTTTCATCTACCAGGTAAAGCACGTTTTAAAATGGTATTTAGTTTATCATGAGTGATCATTTAACCTAATTTTAAAAAAAAAATCATTTCACTGCTTTTCTTTGGGAAAATATGAGAGGTGATTTAAGAAGAATGCAAGGGGGAGTCTTTTCTGGTTTTGGACACTAATTTATAATGGTGGTATTAAGTAGCTTATTTTTTCCTATATGTCTAGTAAATGCTCTTTGCAAGTTTTCATGGCCTTTTTTTTTATGGAGTTATAGAAGATGCTAATACCATTTCCATCCATTTATTAAGGACTAATCAATCACCAGACGGTACTTCAGCATAAGTCAGCTACTTTGTTTTCTTTGATTTGTGTTTCTTTGGAACATGCTTTGTATCATCCTCTATGAGAACAAGTGAACACGGAGTCAAAGGTGGACGGCTTCATTGTACCTCCACAAAAACCATTGTCTGCTGCTCAGAGAGGAGTTGTCGTTACAGTTATTCCAAATTTGTAATGCAGATACATACGGACATATTCTGAAAAATAATGACTCTTCATTTCTAAGGCTGCTGCTACTGAGGCCAGGTTGTCTGTGGCTGCCGGTAGCCAGCCCTTTGTTAAACGACCCGATAAACCGAAGTCTGAGCCCGTGCCTTCCCTCCTCTGGGCTTTAAACCTGCCATAGGAGCATCCCAGTGGGCTGGCTAAAGACAGGGCCCCACTCTCTAACCTAAAGGAGAATTGCCATCTGGGGTAGGTTCACATTCACCCAGGCTACATACACGGCTAGTGGGCATACAGTATTTGCCCTTGATGTTGGTGTTGACATGCTGCTGAATGCCTCCTTCCACCAATAGGACGCTACCTTCCCATTCTCTCTGCACGGTGTTCTTGGACGTTTCTCCTTTCTAAGTGCTGTTGACCAACGGTCTGTTTATCATCGATACTCATTTCTGTTTTACAGTATATGCTTTACCATCCCTCAGAGCACTGGCTTTAAGGGATGTTAAAAAAGGTTAACTACAACAACAGCAGTGTTTTATGCCCTAATGATTTTAAGATATGCTAAGCTAAACGCAGTTACACAGTTTTATTTTCTATAGGACTTCTCAAAGCTGCTAATATATGGCATTGATACAGAAGTATCAAGCAGAAGTACCTCACATGTCTAATGTTACACCTGCTATACTTTAGGATAGGGTTTTTCAGTCTTGGCACCATTGAGATTTTGGGTTGGATGATTTTTTGTTGGGGCGGGGGGTGGGGGGCTGTCCTGGGCATTGTAGCACTTACAGCAGCAGCCCTGCCCCTGCCCACTAGATGTCAGGAGCAGCCCTGCCAGGCGTTTGCCAGATGTCCTCTGTTGGGGGCAAATTGTCTGCTTTAGCCCACTGAGAACCTCTGCTCTAGAGGTGCTGACGCTCCTTTCCTGAGCTGACTCGTTGTTCCACAGCAGCGTGCTCCCCAAACCTGCAGACTTCTCCGAAGACGTGGCTGCTCACTGTGTATTGTGGTTTAGATGAACTGGGCTGCGTTGTCTTGTTTCTCGCTGCTGCTTTGTTGTTGATTATCAGTTTGCATCCTTTTTCTGGTAAATCTCTCCATGACATTTCCAGTTCCAGTTACGGGTTTCTTCCTTTTTCAGAGAGGACCTGGTTGCCTCCCACTTTTTGCGTTGGGTGCAACGTTTAGCCTAACTATGTATTTTGTATTTAAACTACAAAGTATAACCATTATACATTTCCTTTTCTTACCCTTATTTCCCACCCTTACTTTTGCCTTCAGACTTGGAGCATCCTCTTTATTTGTTTATGAAGCAAATAATGTGCTTCCTTTCTATAAAGCAAGTCATTTAAAACAGCTGTTCTAGGCACTGGCTTTGTGTGTTTTTAAAATTATAATGTGTAATATTTTTGTGTCCTGGGGTTTATGCTTAGAGTAACTTATCAGATGATGTTTATTTTTATTCTGGTTTGCTACTTTTCTGTATCTTTTTGTTTATTCAGTTTCTTACAGCTTTATGATTTCTTGTTTGAGATGGAGATCTTTGTATTATACATGCATTTGGTTGAAAGAAAAGAGCTTTTTGGTTTATAAACACAGCTCCTGTCATTTTAAATATTTATTTTAATAATGATACATTCTTTACTAGAAAAGCACTAATTGTTTTTCTTTTGTGGGGGGGTTCTTTTTTTAGGGAAAGCTACCAACAACAGGAATGACAATCACAAAGCTTGAGGACAGTGAAAATCATAAAAATTCATTTGAAATATCAGGTGATAGGCGCAAACTTTTGTGAATGCTGTCTGTTGGTGAGAGCTAGATTACTGTATGTTTGCAGATTCTTGCTTAAGTAATTCCGAGGGCTGGTGTTCAAGCACTGTCGAAGTGTGTTCTGGGTGCGTGTGCCTGCGTGTGCCTGCGTGTGCGTGCTGCTTGCCTGTTTTTCTGTCTCAGCCTGTTCATTGTCTCCTGTAGGAAGCATGATTGAGCGGATATTAGTGTCATGCAACAACCAGCAGGATTTGCACGAATGGGTGGACCATCTGCAGAAGCAGACCAAAGTCACGTCTGTCGGAAATCCCACGATAAAGCCTCATTCTGTGCCATCCCATACTGTAAGGACTGCGCTGCGCCTTCCCAACGGCATACAGTATCACCCCTTTGCTGGAGCTGTCAGGAAGTGATTGTGTACTTGGCAGCATAAGTAATTTCTAGCTCAGTAATGAAGAATATTTCCTTCATATTTCTTGGCAAATGGTTGATTCGTATCCATCTAATAGTGAGTAGTTCTGCGATGATGGTTGTTGTGAAGCAGCCCTAAAATCGTGTGCTCATACGGGGTTTGGTGAAAGTTGAGTAGCAGGCTGCCTCTCAGAGACTAACTTGGGAGAGTTTTCAGCTAAACCACCAAAAGCCACCAGTCCATAGATTATTTCTGAGAATTTCAACTTTATTTATTTTGTTTCATAAAAGATAACAAAATAAATAAGATGATTTAAAAAAAAAAAAAAGGGGGTGGGGACCAGATTCTTGTTGAAGGCCTTAAAATGTAATTCTCGACTCAGCGTTTTGATTTTAAGAAAGTCGTGTCTTTACCTAGAAGAGCTCAGCAGCTCTTTGATTTTTTATGTACTTATTGCCAAGTAGATCAGTCCCACAGTTTCAGTGTTTACAACTCTGTACTGGTGTTTTATGCTTAAGATATTAGTGCTGAATTATTTTAACACTCATTGTCTTTATTAAACAACATTTTAAAACTGGAGAAACCTTTTTAAAAACGAATGATGATCACACAAGCATTTTCAGTTAGTAGATTTTTCTCATATCCCTGTAAGAGTCTTATGATCTTTATTAGGACATTTTCTACCACGTGAGTTCATTTTCCCATTCATTGTCCTTCAGATTAAAAGTTTTAGCTCGAGAAACATCAGGATAGAGTAATAAATGGGTCAGCGTTTCATTGTGTCACTCCCTATTTGAACTGTTCAGAGATGAAAACTACGCGTTTGCTTCAGCTCACGTTTCCTTGTCAGTGGGTGTGTCATTTGTAACCTCACCATCCTTTTAAAGATTTTAACTTTCATGGGACTGTGTTTATTGCAAGGACATGTATGTACATGTCTGCATGTTCATAAAGAAAAGTGGAAGTTCCTTTTCATTCATATTCTCAAAAACAGACTGAAACTAGTTTTCCTAAAATTCTGTACCACGTCCGAGTTGGCTGTGTACTTGGACCTTGGCATCTCAGCGTTTCTTGTCACGTCACTGAGCGACAAGGGAGGTGTTTCCTCAGGACGCGGCCTGAAGTCCCCACTGGGTTGACGGCACTGTTCCTCACACAATGGGCGTCTGCAAAGTGCTGCCTTCCCCGAGGGAGCGCCTCTCTGGGGGATTCTGTATTCTGCCCGTGATCTGACTGTGCCCCACTTGAATAATATTCCAATTTTGAAATAAAACATAGCCTTTTTGATTTTTTCAAGTAAGGAAAAACGAAATCAAACATTGCTTACCATGACCTCAGTGCTAGAAGGAATGTTTTGCATAATTTTTTTCTTTGAATTATTTAATTTGAAAAAAATTATTTTAACATAGTTATCTAGCACGCTCTGAGTCTCACACTCCAGCCACCGCCCTTCCACCAAGGACTAGCGTGTGATTTTTGTGGCTTGCATAGAAAGTTGAATGCTCATGTTCTCGACTCTGGTGGTACGGGCCCCACTGATCCAGTGTGTCAGCTGCCGCTCAGTTCTCCAGAATGGCAGCCTCACTTCAGGTGGCCTCTTCACAGAACCATTCAGCTCTTCTCCTTTTCAGGATGCCTCCCTGATTTGAGGTCATTGGCTAGTTTTGAGGGTTACTTACTTTATTTAACATTTTCTCCTTTAACTGTCTGTGTGATGGGATATTTTTGGGTTTTCCAGGAATGTAAATGCCAGTAACCAATATATTTCTCTGAGAAATTAGATTTTGAATAACTTTGTTTTATTTAAAGCTTTTTTTTTTTTTTTTTTCCAAGAAAATAAGTTGTTTTATTGCAGAGGTTGGCAGTTTTTTTAGTACAGGCCCAGGTGGTAAATACTCCCAGCTTTCTGGGCTGTAAGGTATCCGTTGCAGCTAGGGGACAGCTGCCGTTGTAACATGAGTGCAGCATAGACAGCAGTAAAGGAGTGGGGATGGCTGTGTGACAATCGGACTTCCTTTTTTTTTTAACAAAAACAGTGGGCAGGCTCTAGTTTTGCCGACCCCTGTGTCACCAGCCAGTAGATATATGTGACTTGAGAGAAAGACTACCTTGCCCTCCCCTCTAACTGTATGCCTGGCACAAAGAATGTCTGTTCTCTCGTATAATACCGATTTTTATACCAAGTGAGAAATTTTGTTTTCACATGTTACTCCCATGGCCAGGAAGTGGCTTGTAGAGTGTTGGGGGTTTTGGGTACTCAGTTCAGTGGTGCTCATTACTGACGGATGCGTGGTCTTCGGCAGAATAGCGAGGAGCTCTGTTCTAGCCCAGGCGTGCCACAGCCGACCATGTGTGACCGAGAGACTGGCTGTTGAGAGACATTGAAAAGAAATGATAACAGTTGGGGGATTGGGTCTTTGGAAGTGTTTTTTAAAAACAAACAAACTTAGCTTTATTTGATCAAGGTTTATTTTCCTGTGAATGCCTTAGGTCTTATATTTTGTTTATTCTCTTTTCTCAAAACCTGTGCACTTGGCAGCTTCCTTCCCATCCCATCACCCCATCCAGCAAACATGCAGACAGCAAGCCAGTGCCACTGACGCCTGCATACCACACCCTCCCTCACCTCTCCCACCACGGGACTCCACACACCACCATTAACTGGGGACCTCTGGAGCCGCCTAAAACCCCCAAACCGTGGAGCCTGAGCTGCCTGCGCCCTGCACCTCCTCTCCGGCCTTCAGCTGCTCTGTGTTACAAAGAGGTGAGGTCCTCTGACCCTTCTAGAAGCCACTGTAGAGAGGGTGACAGAACAAGAGTAAACGGAACCTGGAATCTGGGTGTGTTAAATAGATTATCCTGTACTTCACCCCCACCTTTTTTTATTTCAATGAATTTAGAAATATTGGCAGTCCAGTATTTCTATCTGTGACATAAAAAATACAGATTAGCTTCTTCAGAAGTGTGAAGAAGGGTCTGCCCTCACTTATTTGTCTTTGCCTTAAACGCTGTGTCAGGGGCCTGGGACCCCACAGGAGACCCACAAGGGAAGAGGGTGTGCAGCATGGGATCCTTCCTGTGCATTTTCACAAAGGGGCCTTTATTATGCAGCAGAAGCTGCGTTCCTGTGACAAGTGTGGCTTCTGTGGCTCTTCCTTAACTCCTGCTGATGCCAGGGGCCAGGAGCTAGGAAGTTTTACACGGGCCTCCTCTTTGCCTTTTACTGAGCCTCGAGTTATTTTGAACTTCCGGTTGGAGAGAGGTGTCACTTTATTTCTGCGTGCTATTCTGTTGCCCCTTATGACCCTTTCTTTAGGATCCTGTCTAGGGAACCCTGAATCTGTCACCAGAAGCTGTCTGAGATGGAGAGAATAATATACAGAAATAAAAAATAATAATTAAGGCAACTCCCTCCTTTGATGTGTGAGAAATTATAATTTTTACCCCCCTTCATTCTAATTCAGTGTTTTTAGATACACCACGTGCATAAAAATAAAATTCTTGCTCATAAATATGTCCGAGCAGTTCCGTACACTTTTCCCTAAACCTGCTTTGATGGGGAAAGGAAGTGTGTGGAGAAATGTGCTCTGAGACACACTCAGGCTTTTATTGAATAGAGACTGGGAGCATGTTGAAGCGCGGATACCTGGTATCAAGTCCAGCTGACAGCCGCATTTGCAAAGGAGCCCACAGCAGACGCTCCGTACTTGCCAGCAGCCCTAAGCATTTTAAGACGTATAAAAGTGCCGCAAAGAAGTTATCATCCATCTTTTGCATTTTTTTGGTTTTTAATGAATTTTGTTTTTTGTGGCATGTCTCTTGCTGACAGTCATATACCCATGTCAAGAGTTTCTTATCAATGGCAGTTACTTAAAGAATGCTGATTTTTTTTATTACATGGTTTAGTGGTTACACGCCAAAGGAAAAGTGAGATAATGCAGACAAGAATTTGTGGTGATTTAATTATCTGGACAGAAAATTGGGTAAAACTGTTAGGCTTATATCAAGGGAATGAGGTTGTAATGAATTTAAAAGCAAAGCTCAGCAGTAGCAACAAAAAATAGCAAAGAAGTAGAAAGGTATTGAGGTGAACATAAGTTTGAGTTTGTAGAAACCCGGCTGCAGTTGCTTTGCTGGACATCACGTTGGAGAAGTGTTTGATATGCTGTAGTTGCCCAGCATTACCAAGTTCTTCAAGACATTTAGCAAGAAGTAATCTTATACAGCATGGTGGAAGAAAATGGAAATTCATGGAGAGCTAGCCTGCAGCCAGCTTTACCTAGTTTCAGGTAGTCAGGTAGATTTATGTATTGACTTTGAGGCCCTCTGCATATGACATACCCTTCTAATCAGTTAGAAGGACAGGGATTCATCTTGGTGTACTTATCAAGAGTATCTCTGTTAGTTTTGAATCAGGGCAGCTCATTTATTTTTAGGCTTTCCAGCTGTAGGACACATAGTAAATATATTTCTTCGTGAGCTGATTTCTGCTGTGTTTCTAACAGCTTTTTAAAAAAAGTTTTTTTTTTAAATTTTTTATTTTTATTATTACAGAAAAAGGTTTAGTAACTAAAAATCAGGCTTCATTCACACCCTGCTTTCAGACTCACCTTCCGAATCTTAATTTCTCATTTTACGATTAATAAGTGGTTTATATAATTTAAAGGATGCAGAAGTTAGCCTTTTTGGATGTGGATATTTCATACATGCTTGAAAAGGGAAACTGGTCCCACACCCTTTGGACTTGGTTTTGCTCATTTAGTTTTCCACCGTTTGAGTCCTCACTCTCTTAGAAATCTTGTGTTGGAAAGGAGGGGGTAGACCATGACCTTCTTAAACATTACATTTCCGTGAACCTGCCGTATAGAGAACAGCCAGCGCCAACCTTCTATCCCAGCGTTCCTCTGCTCTCAAAGCCAGCTAGCTGATCTCCTAGTTTCCTTTCTTCTCACTAGAGGCTTCAAGTATTCCCTTAAAGGAATCAGTTTTTACTTACCTCTCCTTGAGAAATAGCCCTGGTTTCCTCATCTGTTTCTAATCAGATGTGACAGATGGGTCCCCTCCTCCAGAAGTCACAGCCCCACCCTCCACCCCCCCTGGGAGTGTGTATGCACCTCTGTCCACATGCTTCTCCATCTGTCCGTTTTTTTATCCTCTCCAAACGCTGCCAGCCTGCCTGCAAGCCTGAAGCAGCTTTGCTGTGAGTTGTTACTATACTAACGGGATCCAAGTAACACAAGGAAACCTGTTTCTGTCAGAGTCAAGAGGAAATATTAACCAATGACGAAAACTGAAAATGGCTTATTAATTTTAAATTAATGTTCAGCAGTTGGCAAAGAAAATTCCAGTTATAATGAGAAAAATAGGAAGCTCATAACACTGGCCGTAGTGATTTAGTATTTCACACCTGAAGAGCAACCCTCACCAATACACAAATAAAAATTACTGCTTTGGAGTATTGCTGCCATTTGCTTTCCCCTTGTAATTTCCGCAGGATCTCAGCAAGAGCCCCAAGACGATGAAAAAACTGCTGCCCAAACGCAAACCTGAACGGAAAGCTTCTGATGAAGAGTTTGCTGTGAGGAAAAGTGAGTAAGTGTGGGCGCAAGAGTGGGCTTCCTGTGAGGAAAAGTGAGTAAGTGTGG